CAACACAGCTCTCCCCGCTTCCTGCTGGGAGCTCCCATCTCCGCTAAACGCCCAAATCCTCTTTATAGGGGAAGCCTCCAGAGACGTATTTCTATCCACCTCTTCCTGGCAGATCCAACACTGCAAAACCACGCTGGGGCAGAAATACCTGTGGCTCTGAAATGCACCCCATCTCCGGAGGAGTCCAAAGCCCTACGCTGCCGTCCCCAGGTGTCCTTCCCAGGCATAGAGAGGGGGAGAACAAGGAATGCACGTTATAAATATAAAATCATTATCTGCTACAAACAGGAGACGTATATTGTACATCTTTGACCCATATACACAAGAACACAATATACACAGAACGCCTCAGAGGAGCAGGGGCTTTGTAAGGGGGTTTCGGGAGATGCCACTCCCCTGCCAGCCTCCCCCCACGCCTCTCCCCCAGGGCCAGAGGGGGCCGTACCGACAGCACATCAGTCATCAAAAGTCCCGTCAAGCTGGCGCGCATCATTCGAACCGCACGTGGATGGAGTGGTCTCCCCTGTTGTGCCTGCCCTGCTGCCCTAGGGGAGAGGGAGGCGAAGAGGATGGAGAGGAGAGAGGGCAGGTGTGAGGGGCTCTCTTGCAAACCCAGAAAGTGCTTGGGGGGGGTCTCTGGACCCTGGGAGCGAAGCTAGGCCCTGAGAGAAACTTCTTGCCCTGCCGTCCTCGGGGAGGGGAAGGATTTTCCGGCCAGGCGGGTTTCCGATAAGGCATTTTCATCGGGGAGTTGGAGCGAGTGGTGTCGGAAGAGGAAGGGCACAGATGGGTCAGCGTAGGTGGTGGCAGGTTAACACGAGGCAGCGAAGCCAAGGTGGGCCCAGCGGGACAAGCCCAGGGCAGGGGGTGGAGAGGACAGGAGGGCTTTGTCCTCGGCTCAGTTTATCTGTGCCCCATGTCCTCCCCCAGCCCCTTCAAGCCTCTCTCCCTGGCTCAAGCCACCGGCACGGAGTGAAATACTGACAGTCATTGGAGTGGCACATCCAGGAGCATGGAGTGGCAGACAGGCACACGTTAAGAGTTAAGACAGGAGTCGATGTGAGCTTTGTACAGCGAGAAGCAGCTCCTGGCCAGAGTGTCCAAGGACTTGGGACGACAAAAATGCCACAGTGATCAGATTGGGCCAGGACGAGGGGGTGGGCATGGGGGAGAGGAGGGAGTCGAGTCCTGGCACCTATCGGCGGTAATGATTGGGGGCGTCTGCAAACATGTACTTGAGTCTGTAGGCTTCTGCGAGCAGGAGTCCAATCTCTTCGTTACCCCAGTGTATCGTGGGCAGGTTTTGTAACAACATTAGAAGGCCCTGAAAGAGGGGAAGGTGCTTAGTTTGGGGTGGTTGAAGGCAGGGTACAGCTCCAGAGCAGGCTTGGGGCCAGCACGACCAGAGGCAGCAGCACTCAGTAACTTTTGCTCACCACACTCGCAGATCTGAAAGGCTCAGAGTCAGTATTAAGATGTGCTCATGTCTAGATCTGAATATGTGAAGCACCTCAGATGCCCCCAAACCTCTTGAGATAAAGGGTGCTACCTCAGTGTTACAACTGGACACCAGAAGGCAAACACGAAGGGACTTACCATGATCAAAGCTCCAGCCTGGGGAAGAGCTGGTTATTTGATGTTTGAACCCTCCAACAGCTCAGTTCTCTGTCCTGAGCACTGAAGCTCAGAAGTTACTTTTCAGCAAAGATCCTGAGACTGGATGCTCTTGGAGCCAGCTCTGAGACGATGGATGACTGTGTCCACAAGTGGACTGTGTCCACTGATGTCTGGAATCCCAACCAGAGCAATTCCCTCCCCTTGACCCCCAGAGAATCACCCTCAGCCCCAAGGACTTACTTGGAAGTCTTCCTCATCTAGGATCTCCTTCCGCCACTTGATCAAGAACGCGGCGCAGACATACAGGTGGAAATGTGAGAATCCTTCTGGCTCCGACTGTGGACAACAAAACTCTGGGTCAGCTCCTGCAGCTCAGCTGGAGCATGGCTTCCCCAGACACAGATGTCCTACTGGGCCACCCATCACCCAACCGGCTATAAATGCCCTGGGGCCACGCTGCTTTGTTTCCCTCACGTCCCCAGCTGCACGGTGCTGCAGAAGACCTCCATCCCCACCATGTACACAGAATTGGTCCCACAGCGACCAGCCAAGCACGGAAGGCAGTGGGAGCCTGCGTACCTGGTAGGTGTCCCAGAGGCGGATGGTGCAGCGAAGAGGCAGCTCCCTCATAAGCAGATTGTTCATCCAGCGAAAGGCAAACTGCAGGTATTCGACCTCGTACTTCCTAAAGTGATTATGTACCTGCTCTGGAACAGCACATTTCACTTACACACCTGGGGACCACAGTGTCCCAGCTCCCACGCACGGCACTGCCCCCAACACACCAGCTTTCACGCACTTTCAGGCTGAGACCTTGCTCTCCCAAATGCCTCCACTCCTCACCCTGTGCTACCTGGCCAGAAAAACCCTGTCCCCGGGAGAGTTCTGGCTGATCCTACCCTGCCCTGCCCTGCTTCCATACGTGTTGTAGGCAAGTGTCTACCCCTGCCCTGAGGATATTACTTGCAAAGGAGGCCTCCTGCTGTTGTGACAAAAGAGCCTCTAACCTGCTCAGATCCCCTTGTCACCTACCATCGATCCGGCTGACAAGCTCCTCCAGGGCTTTGACTTTCTTCTGGATCCCCGGCTGTGCAAAGGTGTAGTTATCCTGTGGGGAGAGGCCACAAGTCAGAAGCAGCAGCTCTAACAATGGCTAGAAAGAACCAAAACCAGATCCCCAGCTCCACAGGGAGCTGAGACCACCATGAGCCAAGGAGACATGGCTCTTGAGCACCAGGATCATCCACCTGCTGTGAAGTCCCTAGTCAGGACAGCGCTGGTCAGACAGCCACAGCATCTTATTTCCCCAGGATTTTACCCACAGATTTAGCTTAGTGAAGTAGCAAAGTCTCCCTAATGCTAGGACATGCAGAGAGCTCGTGCAAACACAGAGAAGACGACTGCACTGCTACCCCAGCGAGGGGAGAAACCTCTGTGGCCCCAGAGGCTCACCTGTATCCCATCCAGCAGCTTGCTCATGCACCAGAAGCTATCGGCTTCGATGCTCCGTAAAACATCCTGTGACAGGTTCGTCACATCAAAGTTCTCCACATCCTCCTCTGCAAAAGAGAGAAGGAAGAGCATCAGAAGGACAGGGGACACCAGGCAGCTCACAGGACACACCAAGGGGCTTTATCAAGCCAAGGCAGGGCAAGAGGCACTACAAGGCTCCCTGCATGACGTGGGTGGCCTGTCTGGCACAGAGCACAGCACCCATGCACTGACCAACTTCTCCAACCCAGGCAAAGGGCTGAAGGACCCCAAAAGACTCAGTGGCCATGATCTGAACGCAGCCCCAGGGGACCATGGGAGGGATCCCACAGCACTGCCACTGTTGTTGTCCCTTTGGGGTGAGGGCTGTGCACGGATAAAGCTCCGAGTATGTGGGACACCTCTTGCTGCAGCACATCCCGCCCTGGGTGACAGCAGGTCTCTGCCAGCTGGCAGCACCCCAGGGAGAACCGGGAGAGGTGAATCTGTCACTGCAGCCAGAAACCAGGGAAGCAAACGTTGCCCTTGGCCTGGGGCAGCACAAGGGAGCTCAGTTCCCACTCCCAGTCAGATTCATCAGCATTATCCTAGGACTGAAGCACAACAGAGGCACCCAAAAAGCAGTTGCCAACTCTGAGAACCCATGAGGAAGAACAGCCAAAGCCTCAGAAACTTCTATAGGACAGCAGAACTCTTGGGCACAGTTGCAAGAACCCAAAAAGCACACAAACATCCTCCTGGAGAGCAAAAGGCTCCAAGTTAAATCCAGCATGAGCCTGACAGCAGAGCCATGCAGCAGAGAGCCTGCTCAGCTTCACAGAGCCTCTCCTCCTCCTTGAGCCCAGCTGACAGGAAAGCTCCAGCAACCAGAAGCAGCCCCACGCACAGAAGAGCCTTGCTGCGGCATAAGCAGCAAGAGATTTGTACAAGCTTGGCTTTCAAACCCTGTGAACCTGGGGTCGGAGGGCACAAGGGTTAGTGGCAGCTCTGTCCCCAAAGGGCATTCACAGAGTGCAAAAGCTGCCCTCATTCTTAAATGAGCTTATGAACTCCCAGGAAGGGCAAGGGGGAGAAAGCTGAGGCCTAGATGGTGGCATGGTGGTGACGCTGGCTGAGTTGGAAGCAGAGATCACCTGCTCCAGGCCAGGCCCACCTTACCCTAGAGGCTGAGGCAGGCAACAGGCATGGGAAGGTAGTGGAAGACGACCCAGCAGCTCCCTCCCTTCCTCCTCAGGAGGAGAGTGCCTGTCACACTGCTAAATCGGATCAACAGATACCAGGGCTAAACTGGCCCATTTCCAAACCCAGAGGCTCAGAAATTCTAACACACTCTTTGATCTTCCTTGGAAAAGAGCAAGAAAGGGAGAAGACAGGACTCGGGGCTCGGGCCAGGCCACCCTCTTGGCTCAGATACACCGCAGGGCAGCTGTCGCAGGCTGGCAGCACTGTGAAAACTGATGCTAACAGATCCTGCTCGCAGGAGGATGAGAAGTGCGGAGCCACTGACTCCAACACTCTTCCCACCTCTGCTTCTCCTCCAGGGCAGAGCTCAGCTCCAGAGCAAACTGCCACTGGGAGCTTTAGGAACAAGCAAGGGCTTAACTCTGCATTAATGTGGCAATCTTGTACTGCAGAAAGAGCAGCAAAGCTGTTTTCCAGCTGCAGATTGTCATCCAAAACTATCACTCTTTTGCTGGTTTCTCTGCAGCCACTCTCAAATGTTCCAGGTAATGAGAAAGGCAGGCAAAAATCTGTTTAATACCCATCTCCTTCTCTAGATAACTTCCTCCACAGAGGAAGGAGGATGGGCAGGCAAAGGAGCAGGACATGCATATGGCCAGGACTGGTGGGAGAGGCAGGCTCAGCCATGCAGCAATGAGCCTCATGCAGAAGACCTCCCCATGCAGCTCCTGAGGACTGTGATGGAGAAGGGGATGTGGTGACCTGCCCAGGTGACGGGGAACACCCTGCTGCTTGCACCAGTACGGGGAGAAGAGGAGCAACCCTGCCAGCACCCCGGTGCCAAAGCTAAACTGTGGTAGGAGATCCCCAGCATAAGCCAACACACAACGAGAAGCTTTGAAAAAAAAACCCCAGGTCTCTGGAGTGTGGGGCTTAGCACAAACATCTGCTCAGCAGCATCATTAAAGAGGCCCGGTGGAAAGGAGAGAGAGACTCAACATATGGCTCTGACAGGCACTGAAAAGGAGCCAGCGGCACAGTGACAGCTGCCTGCGGATGGGCTGGGGGCAGCCAGGACACCGTGGCCACTGTCACAGGGTGCCCAAGGGCAGCTGGGGCTTGGAGAGAGCAAAGTTCTTGTGAGTGACGTGTTGACAGGGCTGACACAGGAGAAGGGGCATCACAGTCCCACTTGAACCTCTGCCTCAGATGCCAGGCAGGGCATAGCTCAGAGCAGATCAGAGGAGCCAGGGCTCCAGCCTCCCACATCCCTGCTTTCCGCAGGAGAGCTTTAATGACACGCCATATTCCAGCAGCTGGGGCTCAGTGCAGGACTAGACACCTGGAGAACAGTTGAACGCAGTCTCAGCTCATAGCTCTGCACAGTAACGGGCAAGTCTGCACCACGTGCAGTGAGCAACCAGCCTAGGGCAAAACTGGAGTTCAGAACAAGCTGGGTCAGTTGCAGTGTGACTAGTAACACCCGGTACAAGGCTTCCCTTCCCTTCATCTAAGCTCCACTTCTGCTCCTGCTTACAGGGAAACAGAGACTTAATTTAACCATGATTAGGATTTAGTAACAAAGCCAGATCAGAGCAAGCAAGATCAATACTTTCCATGGCACTGCTCCCCTCTACAGACTTGATAAAATGTCAAACGGCTCCCAAAGCTGGGACAATCCCTCATGCAAGGTGTTGGATGGGGGATGGAAGCGGTGTCATACATTGAGATGGTCAGAGAGCACTGGGAGAGGGTGCAGGGCCCAGCACTGACGCTACCTGGGGATGCTGAACTCATTTCTGAGCTCTATTACTGGCATTGTAAATGCATACACAAGCCCTGAGAGCTGGGAGCGACTCAGTGCAGCAGGAGGAGCTGTGGGACCTGAGCTGGAAGGCAGTTTTAGCAGGACTGACAGCTCAGCATCCCTGTGCTTTCTGGGCCCTCTCTGATCACCTGGAAAAAGGGACACATGGTTTCCCTCCAGCAGATACTGAGGTGTCATCCCTTACTCCAATTCCTCGGACACCAGACTGCCTCTCTCCATCCTCACTGCTCAAGCTCTGCCTCCCCAGTGGCACTGGCAGCCTGCACCCATCCCACCCGGAGGGCAGCAACAACAGGCTCAGCTGCTGCTGCAGCCTCAACACCTCCCTCAAGCTCTTCCTCACAGCAGCACCAGCTGAAAACAAGCAGCGCTCAGCAGTCTGCGGCAGAAGCCATCAATCAGCTGGGAGGAGGAATCGCTCCAGCTATGGATCTGTCAGTGGCAGGAGCCCAAAGCATCCATAGTTGCTGCCACATAGCTGAGGCAGCCGTGTTCGCGCAGGAGGCAGGTAGAGCAGCACAGAAGGTGAGCCAGCTTGCCACGCTGGGGGAAAGGGGAAAACACAGCAGTTAAACCTATCCCATCTGCCAAGGGCTCACAGCAGCCTGCCCAGCACCTGGAAGGAGGATGAGTTTTGCATCCAGACTCGGTGCAAGTATGGGAAAAGTAACTGGTCCCAACTGGCACTGGAGAAGGGGGCAGGGGATTTCAGACACGGGGACTGGGAGGCTCTGGGGAAGAGCTGCTTCTCCCTGCTTCAGCCAAGCTGGGATTTTCTGAAGCTGGTCAAAGGGGCACACACACTAGCACTGCTCAGAAGAGGGAAGCAATATCAACAGGACCCTTTCAGTCAGGCTAGGGAGGTGCAGATCAGTAACAGTGTCATCTAGTTCCCAAAGCATCCCAGGGCAGTTGGAGAAATAACTTCCTGCAAATGTTTTTCACTCACTGGTCTGTTTCCCTCCTTCAGGACCAGGAGAGGCATATGCCCTTCCTCCCCACACCTTCTACAGTGACAACACAAAGGCATGAAGTCAAAGACACAGCAATACAGCCAGCCAAACTGCTCTAACTACTACCCCAAGCAAGCTGTGTTTAATCGCTCTGCACACAAGGGCCTGGGAGTTTGCTGGGTTGCTACTGACTGTTGGTTTGTTCTTGTGTCAACTTCAATGAAAGGGAGCTGCCAAACTCTTCTCTGAATGCGCCTGATGTACTACAAACCACCCACATTTTCCCCAGGGGCACATTCTAGCCCTCAGTGAGAAGCCAGACAAGCCTGAAGAATGTTTTAGGCCTTGTTCTAGTAACTGATACATAATGGAGACACTATCAACCATACACATGAATCAGCTGATGAGCACCAAGGAGAGATTTTAATTGATCTGTAGAAAAGTTGACTTGTTGCCTGCAAATACAGTGCCTGCGCAAAGCATGGGATGATGGGTTAGCAGTCTGCAACAAACTTCGAGATGTCTACAACAAACCAGCCCATTCCTAGAGGTGAGCCTGCTTTATGAGAAGCCATTAGACTGAACAGCAGAAGACCAGGGTGTCAGCCTCACCTTGTGCTGAACAGCTAACCAAAGTCAACAGCTTGTGAACCCCCGCCTCTGCCTGTCAGCTCCGCATCACACACACACGCACACCCCATGGTCCCTGGAGACCTGCGAGTGTCCTGCTGAGTCAGCTGCTGCAGGAGACAGTCCTCCAAAAGCTCCAACACAAACATCCCAGGGAAGACAGTGGGCAGCTAAGCAGAGGAGCCAGGTGGCAGCACAGCGGGTCCCTTCGAGCATCTTGCAGTCAACAAAACACCCACTCTGAAAGGAGAGTGGGGGCAGCAAACCCAAGAGGTTTGAGGATGGAGCCAGTGCTGGTGCCAACTTCCCAGAGCCAGCTTTCAAGGAAAGGTGAGGGAAACTTTTCCAGGCCCGTTGTACACACACCTTTGAATGTGGAAGTACCCTCAGATGACACACAGATATATGAGCCCGCAGCGGCTCCGTGGGCAGGGGCTGCCTGCACCATACAGATTGTTCCCTTTCCCAAGGGGGATACAGCTTGAAGAATACAAATGGGATTTCCTTTGAGCAAAAGGCTTCCCACAGAAAGGTGAGTTGTCCCTTGGCACGTGCTGCACAAGGATTACCAAACTGTGCAAGGCCTCTTTTGGCTCTCCTGCTGCAAGGACTCGGATGCAGTGCAGATTTGGCTGATCCAGGGATCCTGAGAATTGGTGATCCAACACGGAGAGCCTCCTGCCCTGCCCAGCACCAGGTCTTCAGGGGGCTGTCACCAAAGCAGCTGTAGAGAAGAGCAATGCTACAAACCAGCGATTTAAATCCTGTTGCAAAAGGGGTTACACAACACTGAGCACTACCAGTTCTTTCCCACATACATTCAAGGCAATTACTGATCTTGCCCTTAAATTCTGACTGCTTATATAGCCAGGGCAGGTAGCCATCGAGACAACTTGTGACCTAAAGGCTGGCTTTGAGTCCCAGGCTCTGGGGACAGAATGCGATATGTGATATTGCTCGGTCAAATTCAACTCAACAGGTCTCATGCAGAGGTGGTTTTTTCCCTCCCACACGTTTCAGAAATAGCTGGAAACAGGAAGACCACATTCAGACAGAAAGCTTCAGTTGGAGGAGAAAACAGGCCTGGAAGATGGGGAGAGGCACAGCTCCAGTGAGATGGACAGGTCCAATGCAGCACGAACTCTGCAGCCACATGTAGAGAGAGTTGAGCCCCAACAGGGTGCAGGACTGCAAGAAGCCACAGCAGGTACCCACAGGCAGCTCCGATGCTTCAGACCAGCTCCCTTCTTGCACAAGTAACTCACTGTGCACAACTCTGCTTCTGACTCGATAAATCAATCCTGAGCAACCAGCCTCCGCCAAGACTAAGTGCCATCAACGCCTCTCGAGCAATAAGGCACAGGAGAAGCCACTCAAAGGGAACCTGCTCAGACCCAAAAGGCTCTTGACCTCCCAGGAATGGGAATTCATTCCAGCTGGTAGCAGAGCCACATTCGTAGAATCATAGAATGGTTTGGGTTGG